CACACTTCAGTGACCCTGCTTATTACAGTTATTTCTGACTACTCCTCTTTCAAAAAGCTCCGGAGTGCAATAAAAATAAGGATTTGGGGTGGGGTGGGGAGCAGGTTCATAAAATTAAGAGATCCTTCTAGCTGAAATTGTGATTCCAGGCCCACCAAGTAACTCATTTCTGGCCTGAGTGCCTATAAGCAAGGGGCAGGGATGTCAGAATGCCTGAATTATCTACATTATTTGGGTCAAATTAATTTGGACTGTTTGAGAAAAGGGGTTAATTTGGTTCTAGATTTCCTGGATTAACCCTGGTATTAATTTCACAGGGAGTAGTTTAGCAGACTTTTACTGTGGCTGTCAAGGCCTCCCGGACCAGTGAGAGGTCTCTCGAGGTGGTGGACACATCCCATACCCAGTCCAAAGGGGCTGGGAAAAGAGATGCAAAATGGAGGTCGAGCCCAGGGCAAAGAACCAAGTCCACAGGTATCAAGTGGTAGGTAGCTTAAGGCACCAGAGGACAAAAGGTGGGGCCCTAAACAGGAATGTAATATTTAGTTAAGGGAAAAGACTGGCAGCCATGGCCAGGCAGTATACTCAAATGAGCCCACAGCAGCAAACAGGGGTGGTGGGGCACCTAAAGGAAAGAGTTTCCAGTATGGAAAAGATCAGGGCCTTGAGAAGGAAAAACCGACAGGGAGAAACTGACAGTGGGGAATAAAGGAAAGCTGGGGAGATGGAGCCTGCTTTGGGGTTTAGGAGCAGAGGCACGAGGGTGTGGTGGGCTTTTCGCCCTGGGGAGGAGAACATCGTGGAAAAAGTGCCACGCGGTGCTGGGACTATGACAGGTCTGAGGAAGAAGAGCCGCGGGGTGCCACCTGAGAGGAGGGAGTGCCGCACTGTGTGAGACCTGTCATAGTCCAATGAGGCGGCACAAGAGGGTGCCACAGTTCTAGATGGGGGAATTGTCCTTGCACCGAGGAGGAGGCGCGGAGGGCTGGGGGGTTGTCACGATCCTAGGGAGGGGGGCGCCGCACGGCGTCCTTGCTCTGGGCGGATTCCAGTAGGTCTCCCTCTCACGGGAGGTACCCGGCGGGTCAGGTGGAGGGCTCCGCTCCCCGCCCGTCCTGCAGCCGCACCCTAGGCGCCCCCGCCCCGCCGTCAGCTCCCTCCTGGGTCTTAAGGCTGAGGCCACTCCTGGGTGTGGGCAGCTTTCCACCCGGCGCAGTGCAGGGACGTGCAAAGCTGGGCGGAGAGGCAGGCGACCCACGGCGTCCTCCCTCCCGCTCCTCCGTAAGGCCACATACCCAGCTCACCTGGTGTCCAAGGCCCCTGCTCTGCCGGCCCGGCCACTCTCCAGATCCCAAGATGTCCGCCCGCCCCCGGCTCGCCTGCCCGCTGCCTCGGCTTTCACCGCAGTGCCGCGGCCCCGCCCCGGCCCCAGCTACGCGTGCGCACCCGCCTCCCGCGTAGACTACAAATCCCGTCAGGCCCCTCGACCTTCTCGTTTACAAATTTAAGCTAAGTTTAAAACTACAACTACCGACTGCCTTCGAGAAACCGCCCCCTCCTTGGGCGGGGGATAGGCGAGTCCTTCGCCCGCCTTATCTGAAATACACATCACGCCAAAGGTCGCAGCACTGGCTTCGTTTTCCTCGCTTAGCATTCTGGGGATTGTAGTCTCTGCAATCCCTCCTGTTCCCATATCAGTGTTTCAGAGAGCCTCAGAGGATTAATACTATTTGTTGAAGCCCATCTGTTAAGCCTTGGATTGCTTAAAGGCCTTTTCTGTCTCCAGAGTCCGAGGACTAGCTGTCCTCTCTTTACATTGAAACACAACTTGGCAGTAGAAGTGTTTGTGCTGCATTTACTGCTTTCTAACACCACCTCTAATTATCCCAATCTTTTCTCATATATTTGTTCCAGACAAAGCCTTTTCCCAGGGATTAAGACCCAAGGAGAGGAGCAGGGAGAAGGCAAATGCTTAGGAAGAAACTAATAGCTAAAGTTTTTCATGAATGTGCTCGTGACTATGAACTCTTCCTGAAGGCCAGCTAAAGATTTTCATGAATGTGCCAATGTCTCCTCAGCTATACCTGTGTGACTGTGTGCCCCTTTTAGTGACAGATATATAGATATATATATATTGCTTAGAAAATGTTTGGAGAATTGAGTTTAGTTGGACATGGGATTCGAGATTCCCTTTCTGATGAACAGAATTAATCTTTACATCCAAGCTGAGTGGAGGAGACAGAACTGACCCTCAAACATGAAAGTCCTGCCTGGTTCTTAGAGGATCTGAAGAAAATCTGATGGCTCTTCTCTTTCTGTAGGCAGAGATACCTTGCTGCCTTCCCTGAGCAGGATTGAGCCTGTCATGGGAGGAAGGGCAAAAAATGGCAAATGTGGTTGCAAACCATACTGTCTTTTGCAGCCCCTTTTCAGAAGCCAGGATGTAGCAGGATGAAGATCTGGTTTCCCTCAAATGGTGATCACAGCCTGAAGCCATTGAGTGATTGAATACAGGCACTTCTAATCTTTGAACCAGCACTCAAGGCTTCACTCCTACCTTTTGTAAAAGCTTTATCTTCCAAACATACCCTAAACTGCTCCCAATTTAGAGTAAATAACAATCATAATGATAATGATAATAATAATAGCTACCATTTATTGAGCACCTACTCTATTGTGTGCCAGGCACTGTGCTAGGCACTTTTCGTACAATATCTAATTTAAATCCTCACAACAACCCTGTGAGGTAGGTTTTATTATCATCATTTTACATACGAGGGAATTGAGGCTCAGAGAGGTTAAATAACTCTCTTATCACACAACCAAAAAATAGTAGAGCTGGAATTCAAACCAAGAACAACCTGACTCCAAATCCCATGCTCTGTTGAATTAAAGTAGAGGCAGAGGGGCGAGGAAGGGCCAAATCCAAGAAAGATTGTTGGAGTGGAATGGACATGATATGCTGATGAGTAAAACATAGGAAGAAGGAATTTAAGCCCATAAATGTTTCTAGCCGGTGAGCCTATGTAGACTGTGATGAAGGTAACCAGGATTGGAATTCAGGAGGAACACACTTGGCTGGGGACATGAGTTGAGTCCATATGGACACATCCATGGAGATGTCCAGTAAGTAATAAAAATACAAATCTAAACATTGGGAGAAATTGGGGTTGGAACTATATATTTGGGAATCACCAGCATATCAGCAGCAATTGAGGACATCAGGATGGATGACACCATTTTGGAAGGAAATAGAGAGGAAAAGGAAGTAGTCCAAAGATGGAACAATGGAAGCACCAACACTGAAGGCATGAGCAATAGTGGAGAAATTCTCAAGACAGAGCTAGAGAGAGAAGTACAGGAAACAGCCCTATAGTGGTGGCTAGAAGCCATGGCCTGGGTTGGGACCAAACCCAGAGCTACCAGAAAGCAGGCAAGACTGAGTCACACTTTCAACACAGCCCTCTGCTCACCAAAACCCCAGAAGTATTGTTAAACAGACGAATGCCAAAATGCCCCTACCTCAGTTCGCCCCAAAACCTGGAGCTAAGGACTTCATCTCACTCTTGACACCCAGCCCTGAAAGCATGAGAGTCTAGGTGAGCCAGAAGAATTTATAGCAGAGGCTTAAAGAGAAAGTCATGATTTGTTTCAAGTGGAGAATAAAGTAAAAAATAAGAAAACTTGGCACTCTATGAGTCTGGAAGTCCTGGAAGTCCCTCTGCCCAACCTCAACTGGCCTGTGGGCTCCTGTATCCTTGTTCTGGGGTTGTCACGGTGAATGTGAAAACAGGGAAGGGTGTGTGGGGGAGAGGGGGTGGGTGAGAATGGCCTGTCAGTCACCTGAGGAGTCCTCTGCTGAGCTCAGCCTGAGACCCAGCTTATGGGCTTTATCCAGGTAAGAAGATGCTGGGGACGTGTGGGAGGTTTGAGGGCTACAAGGCAGGGGAGAGGGAAGTCAGGGGACCAGCCCCACAACCTGGTAGAGGACTGGGAGAGAGGGTCCAGCCCTCTGGGCAGGGACCAGCCCTGAGGCTTAAGCAAACTTGCATAGGCACCTGTGTGTGTGTGTGTGTGCGCATGCATGCTATGTGAGTGAGAGTGAGAAAATGAGAGAAAGAGAGAGACAGAGACAGGGAGAGAGAATGGGAGGGAGAGGGAGAGAAAGGAGACACACACTGTCTCTGGAAAGAACAGAGTCTCTCATGCATGGGTGACTCTGGGCCCGCCCCAGAAGCCTAGTGATTCAAGATGTGGAAGTGTGGGTGTGGGGGCTGGACATCCTTGGGAAGCCCTGAGGGGCTGCTGAAGCAGGGTTCTTGGTCTCCTCAGAGGCTTGGCCTCCCCTCGCAGGGGGCTCACAGAAAGTCAAACAGCCCGAAATTCTTGGCTGCTCCAGGCCCAGGGAAAATTTGGGGAGGAAAAAAGAAAGAAAAGAAATGTTTCAGGCCCAGAGGTGAGATGAGCCTGCTCGTTAGTAGTGTTAGGGGTCTGAAGGAGCCAGCACACAGGGCAGGCATGGGGTGGGAGTAGAGCAGAGATGCCCCATGGAAGCCAAGAGCTGCTCAGGCAACTGAGGGGGCCCACTGGGCTTCTGATCCAGGCTGGGCACAGGCAGTATGGCTACTCGAGGTGACTACAGCCTAGGGTGCAGGACTGGGGCAGCAGGCAGCGGGACGTTAGAAGGGTCAGATGAAGCGAATATTTTTTGGTGTCAGTACTGTGGGGCAGTCAAGAGATCTGAACACATGCCTGAGGGGGTGGGGTTAATAGAGGAATGGTGTAACTGAATGAATTGTAAAAGAGAACTGAAAGGGAAAAAGAGGGGATAAGTAGTGAACATGCCCCCAAGGACACCACGGGGGTCACCTCCTACAAGGGGGTGAAGGGGAATAAGGGGCAGCACCAGTAAATCTGGTCCCAGGCACATGAAGGGTCCCAGCAAGTCCTGCACAGCAGTTAGTGGGCAGAGGGAACAAACTGGGGCCGGTGGCAGGTTAGGGGCTGGCAGAGCCAATCGGTAGGTGTACCCTGCCCTCGCTGCACCCAGCGAGCAGTTAGCGCACCTGGATTTAGTTCCGTTTATTTCCCTTTTAGGTACCAGACAAAGTAAAAAAGACGGACGGATGGAGAGAGGAACGCAGCCGGCCGGGGAGGGGTTGGGATGGCAGTGGGTGGGGATGCCTTGCTCACATCACATCCACAAAGAACTCACTGGGGTTTCCCATGGCCATGCGGAAGGACTGTCTGCTGGCGGTCAGTTCCGGGGGCACGGAGGCCAGGTCGCGACCCGGAGGGGCTCCTGGGGGTCCCAGGGCTGCGGGCGGTGGGGGCATCATCAGCATGGGGGGGCCGTAGAGAGGGGGCACTCCGGGAGGGCCGTAGCTCGGGTGTGTGTGATGGCTGCGCAGGCTGCTGGCCAGCGAGTGGTGGCTGCGGTGGCTGTGCTCGCTGGTGGCTGGGCCTGAGCGTTCACTTGGCGCCCGCTCCCGCGGCCCCCGCAGGCTGCTGCGTGTCGTGTGGTCCGATTCGCTGCCGCTGCCCCCGGACTTGGAGTCCCCAGGCTTCGCATCCTTCTCCTTCCTCCTATCGCTGCCACTGCGGTTGGAGCCACTGCTCCGACTGCCTGTAGGAGACAACCAGGCCAGAACGCTCAGAGCTTGAGGAGGAAGCCTGGGGCTCACCTGTGGCCTCCGTCTATGGCCCTTTCCGCCTTACCTTCACTGTGCTGACTGCTGGCACTGCCCCCGCCGTAGCTGTAGCCCAGCTCCGGGAAGCCCGGGTGTGGGTTGTAAGGGTGCGGGGGCGGCGGGTACTGGTAAGGAAAAGCCATGGGCCAAGGGGCAGCCCCAGGGTGTGGCAAAGGGGCCAGTGTATCCTGGTCAGAGGCGCCACTGGAGCCGTCATGGTCGTGGAGGGAGAGGTTGGCCATGTCTGTGGAGGAGAGGGCTGGGTGAGCTAGGTCTATCCTATGCCCTACACGCCTTGATTAGGAGAGATCCCCAGCCTAAATCGGGTGGGTGGGCTTTGGATAACAACCACTGTGGTAGTTTCTGGCCAGAATGAGAGGAAACAGATCAGAGAGCTCACCTCTTCTGCAGACCCCCTCTGCCACCACCAGAGACAGCTCTGGGAGACCCTCTTCAGGAAGGTCCTGAGTCATCATTTTAGATTCTTAGCCAAATCTGGACACCCAAATTCCAATCCCCTGGAGGCCCCTGCCAAGCTTTTGGCACCTTCTCCTCCCTCCGCAGTGGGCTGGAAGAAGGGGCAAAACTCCTATTTGGCCCTTTTCTGTTCACTTGGAGGGTGATGTTGGGGAATATGGAGGGCTGAAATACCATCAGGTACTGCCTACCTATAATTCATTAAGTACAATACAAAGCACTATCTCCTGCAAATGTTACCCCAACCCTATGAAGAAGGTATCTGTCACATTTTTTCCAAATGAGGAAAGTGACATCCAGAGAGGTTAAAAGACCAGCCTGAGGTCAACCTAAACTGCAGCCAGAACAGAAGCTAAGAGTTCCTTACTTTTGCTTTACCTTTCCAGACGAAGTCATTACTTAGGAGCAGGGAGCAGTTTGGGGAAATTTAGGTGAAATTTTACCCTCTCCCCTCACTTAGAACTAAAAAAATATATATCCGTTAAAAGCCCAGAATGAGCACAGGGCCTTTCAGAGCCTCCCCATATAGAAGGCCCTTGGCCTCGATTACACTTCCCTGGTGCTACTCATGAGTGTGGGATGGGGCCAGAAAGAAAGAACACAGGTGCCTCCTCTGTGTTCTCTACCCTATTCCCAGCCAGGCCTGGCTCTTCACAACACTGTCTCACTCCTATAACATTACTTATTTCATGACTCTAGCTCCCTTGGGGGAATTGTATATTCCTTAAGGGCAAGGCTGGCCCCGCCAATGTTTGAACTACCTTGAAGGGAATATAAGGGATATAAGGGGCCACTAGGACTGAATACCTGCCTGGGATACCCCTTGTTCATATGCCATCTGTACTAGGTCCCAGAGCTCCAAGAGAGCTATAACTGTCCTAGGGGCCACCTGCCCAATATAGACAAGACCTTCCTTCAAGCCCTAAGGTGGGCCAGCCCAGCCTTCCAGGGGAACAGTCAGGAGGCAGAGCTCCGAGGCGGCCTGTGGAGCCTGCCAGCTAAGCTATCAACCTGTCAAGAGGCCAGCAGCTAGCATGGGGGGTGGTGGTGGAGTTAAAAAGTGGTCTGTATCAGCTCATGCTCAAAGAGCTGCTCATGACTTTAGCCTCCAGACTACTGTCCCGAGGGGAGTGACTGTGTCCCCTCTGAGCCTGACATACTCTTGGCTGAAGAGATCAGTGAGAAGGAAAAGGCCTGTTCTGTCAGTATCCCCCTGAGTTGGGCCTCTGGGGATATTGTGAGGATTGAGTTAGAAAACAAGATGATGCCTTAGAAACAACCAGCATGGTACTAGGCAAAGAGCAGGCACTTAGAAAATGCCAGGCCAAAGGAAGATGAAGGGCAGGTGAAGAGGCTAGACTGCACTCTGCTTCCACTACAGAACTCCCAGGCCTTGAGCTGGGCCCCCAGCTCTGTTGCCCTCGCCCCCCAGTCTGGGTTCTCTGGAGTCTGCTGCCACATCCCTGGGCACCTCCCCACTCCCAGCCAGGAGATAGGGCAAGAAGGTAGGGGAGGCACGTACTGCCGCAGAGGTCGCCGAAGATGTAGTAGCATTGCTCAGAGAAGGTGATCTTGTTGACAGTATGGCGGATGAAGCCAGCTTTTAGCAGGTTGCTGGCATACTTGCGGGCCTCCCTCCGGTCAGTGAAGCCTTCCACATTGTGGTACAGCCAGTCCACCACATCTGAGCCTGGGGGCAAGGCTGCTAGTTGATTGGGAAGCCCATCTGACTTGGGCTCATCTGGCCTCACAGATGCTATGAGGCTGGGGCTGGTTCCAGCTCAAAGGAGTGGTGCAAGGGAGCTCTTGAGCCCCCTGGCCTGCCCTGTCCCATTACTCCCCACCCATCCTTCATCCCACCATGGGGCTCTCTCACCGATGAAAGCGTTAGGGATGGTAATCTTGAGCCACATGCGGTCGCGGACCTCCAACCCTGATTCAGGGGAGGCCATGGCTTTTACGATGGCAGCCATGTCACTGTGGATGGATAGGTGGAAGTCATCTAGGCCTGGGGGTAGGAGGCAGAATGGTGAGGCAGAAAGGGGCTTTGGAGTCAGGTAGTCAGGGTTTACATTCCAGCTCAGCTACCTAATGACTATGGAACTGATATTGGGTAAATTACTGACTTCTTGGATACTCAGTTTCCCCTTCTATAAAAATTGGAATTTTAACATGTATATTACAAGGATATTTGAAGAAAGAATTAAATAATGTAAATGAATGTGCTTAGCATAGTGTATCATGTGATGTTATGAGAATAAAAATGGCCATCATTTATTGAATACTTACTCTATGCCACACACTGTGATGATGCTTCACTTACATCCTCTCATTAAACCCCCGGGAACCTGGTGTTTATTGTTAGTCCCATTTTATAAGAGGAAACTGAGGTACCCTGGGTGCTCAATACAGGTTCAGAGCAAACACTGTTTAGTGAGGGTCAGAGTGACCACTGGGGAAAGTTGCAGTGTGGGGGAAGCTAGAATGAGCTGAGTTCCCCTCTGATGCTCAAGCAAGAGTCTCCCTCCCACCTGGCTCTGTCTGCTGGGCCCAGGAGACAGGGCTGGACACTCACGCTCTGTGTCAGGGATGGAACTGGTGATGGAGGAGCTGGTGGAGGTGATGGTGCTCAGGGAGGGGCTCATGCCGTATGCAGGGAAGGTGCCCGTCATGGCCGCAGTGTGGGAGACCCAGGCCGCAGGGTCAATGGGCCGGATGGGCTCGCCTGCAGGGAGGATGAGGAGTCATAGCCTGCCCACCCCGCCCACTGCTGGGCCCAACAGGATAGGTATGGGGGTTCAAGGCAACATATAAGAAAGGAGACACAGGGCTCATGGATGTCAAGCACCAGCTTTAGGGCTGAGTCCCCCATCCACTTACTCCTGGGCAATGTGAAGCAACCACGCGGACTTGGGTCCCAGCACTTGGCTACAGTCAGGGTGATAGGTCTGAAAGCAAGGACGTCCTAGTAAGGGCATGATATGTGGAGGCCAGAGCAAGTCCCTTGCCTGAAACCAGAAATGCCTGCCCTGTCCTCCCCAGTGCATCATTCCATCCATACCCCGGTTTGTGCACAATCTCCCGCAGTACCCGGACTGCATCGTCGTTACTCATGTTCTCAAAGTTGATCTCATTTACCTGGAAAAGAGAACCAGGAGTGGGATAAGCAGTTGTGTTGGGGTGGGGGTGGAGGACTCAGCTTGGTGAGTCAGGAGGTCTTCCCTCCACTGAGGGAGGGCCTCTGAATGAATAGGGTACAGAGGGTAGGGACAACTCCCTGCTTCCTATCCACACCACCACCCAGGGTGGGCAATGATACCTGTAACAGCATGTCTCCTGGCTCGATGCGTCCATCAGCAGCCACGGCCCCACCCTTCATGATAGAGCCAATGTAGATGCCACCGTCACCACGCTCGTTGCTTTGGCCCACAATGGAGATGCCCAAGAAGTTATACTTTTCTACAGGAAGTAATTTATGACCTTGAGGGATAGCAAGGTTCCTACCCAAATTCCCAGCCCGCTATTAGAAAATGGAAAGGGACAAGAACTGACATTTACTGAACCTGAATCAGGCACTGTGTTCAGCAGGCTCGCACATGCTATCATTGAATGCTTGCTGTCTATGAGGTAGGGACTTTTAGTTCCATTTTAAAGAGCAGGCAACTGAGGTTCAGAGAATGTAAGTAACTCTTCTAAGCCAGTAAGTGGTAGAGCCAGGATTCAAATTCAGATTTAAATCCCAAAGTTGAGCTCTTTTTATTATATCTGGCTGTCTCCTAAAGAGAATATGTAGGGTAAAAATCAGAGAGCAAGGATGCATTGGCTGAAAGACGGAAAGGAGTGGGGCACTCAGTCCAGGAAGCCTTCCCTGATGCCATTTTCTGCTTCCACAGCTTTCTATACTTATCTCTGTTACAGCCCTGATCATGAGATACTGAAATGATCAGTTTATGTATTAGTTGATATTATGGAAGATAGCTCCTTGAGGGCAGGGAACTATTCCATGCCTCTCTGAAATCCTCAAGTCTGCCTAGTGTCTGGCACGTATAGTAGGTGCTCAACAGTGCTGTTTCATCAGACTCACCCATGTTGAGAGTAACTGTGATGATGTTGAGTGACATGGTGGAGTCCGTGATGCTGCTGAAGGATGAGGACTGGAATAGACAGAGGCTTTGAACAGCAGGTGGGGTGGCAGGAATTCACTCCCAACTGGCTCTTCCTCAACGTGAGCCCTCAGCACCATCCCCCTTTCTCCCTGAACTAATGGGAAGGGATCTAAAGAAGAATAAGCCTTGGTCCTGCCTGAGAAGTGCTCACAATCTGCCCCCACCCATCCCTAGCATCCCAAGCCCCATACCCGCTCAATCCGAGAAACCTTCTGTTTCCGCCTGCGTCGCTTGTGTCTTCTCATCAGGCGTGAGGCACTGCTCTGTTCTGTGGAGCTGCTGAACCTGTGGAGCCCACAGTCGTTCCCCACCAGGCTGGCCCAGCCCTACCCCATGAGAGGCACTGCAGGGCCCAGGTCCCCAACACAAAGCCCACATGCCTCCCACGGGCCCAGCATCCTCGGGGTTCAGGGCTCCTCAAGGGTCACCTGCCCTACAGTACCCATGAAACTAAAGCCCCACCTGCTGGTGGAGTCATCTTCATCTGAGTCAAAGAAGCTGGTGGTCTCCAACTCGCTGCTCATAAGAGTGGATGAGCTATCATAACCGCCTGGCTCTCGCCGCCGCTCCCCTTTCGCAGTTCCGTTTAGCCGAGCTACTGCAGGGGATGGAAGCAGCTGGGTTCACACAGTGCCCAATATAGGAATGAAGGAAGGAGAGAAAGACAAGCCAGGGGCTGCAGTGGGACCAGGCACATCCAGAGGTCAGGAAGAAGGGCAAAGAGGTGGGTAGCTGGGTGGCAGCTGTAGGGAGGGTGTGGGGGTGGGGAACACATCCCTGTTTAGGGAAGACATACCGTGCTCTGGGCCATCCCTCCGACGTGGCCGCTCCCGCTGGGCAGATACCAAAGAGTCCGTCTCTGTGTCATTGTCCAAGTTCTCCTGGCTGCCCCCACCAGCATGAGGGCTGCAGGGAAGAGAGGACTTGGTGGGGGAGGGGGCAGGCTGGGGGTTCCCCCCCAAGCCCTGGGCTGAGCTGATGTGGCCCTCCCCCGGGGCCCTCCCCACCCTCAGGTTGCACTCACTGGAAGGATGGGGGTCGGGAGTCCCCGATGCCTCCTGTGCGCTCCATAGGTGGTGGCAGCTCTGAGGGGTTGTCAGCACAGAAAGGGGCTGGCTCTGGGTGTGAGCCCTCAGCTGATACCAGCTGATGGTGAGAAAATGAGAGGGTACTAGGTTATAGAGGCACTAGGGAGAAGGGGGATAGTTGGCTTCTGGCAGGGCATGAAGGCCTAGGGAGAATGAAGCGAGAAACATTCAGGGAAAAGAGACAGGCCTATGCAAGAACAGCTGAAATGAAGAGTGGACCCACTGCCTGGGTTAATGGGGTAGCTGGCAGGAATGGGGTGGTGAAGTGGAGTGGGGGCAAAGGGTCACTGGCCCATGGCAGGGATCAGCAGGTGACAGGAGGGAACCTGAGGCAAAGTGTCTCAAAGGCCATAGGAGACATTATTGTCTTTACTGTGTATTTCTGTCTCTCCCTTTTCCCCTTCGCACCACTCTCACTTTTCATTAAAGTTATAGAATCTGGGGTGAGAAACAGTTCAGTTAGAAAACTAAAGGAAAATTCACACACTGAAGCATAAAACTACCAGCTACAATCTCAGTGAGGCCTTTCCCCCTCTAGCCTGGCATGGGGATGCAGGTGGATGGAAGGCTGAGGGCTCCTTACCCAGGATACCACCCGGCCATTGAAGCAGGGTAACTTGGCATTGTCGTCCGAGATCTCTTCCTTCACCACTCTGCAGGGAAAGGGGATGTCAGAAAGAACTTTCTGGGACAGAAATGGAAGCTCCTCAAATCCCAACTCCTAGGGGCTCCTCAGCCCTAAACTGGGAGTCAAACTACCAGCACAAGAGTATTCAAATGGAAGCAGAGGTGGGGGTGACCCAGGGACAGCTCTTTAGCACCACCAGGAAGACACCAGCCCTACCAAGACCAGCTGCCTTCCTAAGTCATCCTCTCAGTCATCAGGTGATTGCAAATTACAACTGACAAATCATTGTCCTGCATGCCACTCCCTCGAATCTCCAGAGCTCTCTACCCATCCCCAACATGGCTCTCCTGGGCTAGACTTTCTCTTTCCCTCTGATCTCAAACTGTAAAAAAGCACACAATTATTACTGCCCTTCCCTTCTAAACTAGGAATCCTGACATTGTTGTGGGATGTATGGGCAAGGAATTTAAAGAAATTAGAAGGGAGAAAGGGAGAAGGCATTTGATGATCATACATCTTCCACATGCCATTATAATTAACAGTAACAATGCTCTCATTTATTGAGCATGTATTATGGGCCAAACACTATGCTAAGCACTTCACTTGTATCATTTCATTTAATATTCACAACAATGCTATAAGGTAGGTACAGGTGGGGAAACTAGGCTCAATAGGTTTAGTATTTCACCTAAACTCCCACCACTAGCAAGTGAAGAGCTAGAATTTGAATCCTGATCAGCTTAACTCTAAAGTCTATCTTCTTACCTATTTTACGATTTTTATCTCCCTACAGTTAGAACATATAAAATTCATACCAGCCTTACTAGGTAGACAGTATGGTCCTCATTTCATGAATAAGGAAACTGAGAAAGATTCAGTAACTTTTTAAAGGTCACAGAACTAGTAGACGTCAGAGCTGGAATTCAACTCTAGGCTCATCTGACTCCAAAACTCCCTCTCTTTCCACCGTATTTCACACTCTTTCCTGTACAATGACAGAGGTAATGTGGGTCTGTGTGGAAGGTGGGTGGTGGTAGGACAGTGATGTGGGGCATGAGGGGTGTGGGATGTGGTCATGGGCTTGTAGTTTGGCCTGGGGAATGTGGTGAGACAAGAAGTCAGACAGTGACTATGGTTTGAGGCCTGGGAAGGGAATTGAAAAGTTTGAGGACTGTCAGACTATCAAACACACCAGGAGTACAGAGCTGGAAAGATGTGACCAAGGGTAAGAGAACAACACATGCCAGGAGCTCTGAGAAGAGAGGGAAGACAGCAGGGAAGGAAGCTGGGAAGCCCAGTTCTCCCTTGTTCCTAGAGCAGCTTCTGTCCAGAGCTTGGAATGTGCTTGGCTCCTTGTGATGCTCACATTCTTGGACTCACAGCCAAGTTTGCAGGCCGAGCCTGCCCTCCCCCTTCCCAGCCAGCTCTGGCTCCTCCACCACTTGCAACCCCACAGTGACCCTAACAAAGAAGTCCAGATCATCCTGCTCAGGCCCACCATCGCAGAAAGTGTAGAAAGAATAGGCTGGAAAGAAGGGACAGAGAGGTAGCTCAGACCCATCAGTCTGGCAGCAGGGTACCCCACGCTTGCAACCCCACACGGGAACCAGGACTCAAAGGAAAAGGCGGGTATGTGCAACACATGGCATGGTCTCGTGGCCTGCTTTGGAGAAGGTCTCCCTGTAAGTGGGAAACTGCTGCTGAGTCCCTTCTTCCCCCTCCCCTAGCAGGCCCCACCACACTGCTCCACACTACAGATGTTTCCTTTCTTTCTGGGGGTCACTGACAGGCCACCAAGGCTCTGCTGACTCACAACAATCAGCTGATCTTCAGCAGCCTTGGGGGACCTCAGACAGGCCTTACCCTCCTACCACGGAGCCGAATGGCTCAGGGTTCCATAGCACTTACACACACCCACCCCCCCAAGTGAAGTGGAATAAATATGGGTTCAAATTCCAATTCTACAACTTGTTAGCCTTTCCATATTACAGAAGTTTCTTAACTTTTGCAAGCCTTTGTCTTGTTCTGGTAAATAAGATTCTTAAATACCTGGCACAATCTAGGCATACAATAGAAGCTAGTTACTAACTTTGTCAGTTTTTAGCAGGATCCACACCCTCTTTCTAACTAGGTGTAAGTTGCTAAGGGCAGGGCAAACACATCTTCTGCTCATTATTCATTGTTCATCCGATTAAAAAGCTTTCGCTGCAGGTGCAGTGGCTCACACCTGTAATCCTAACACTCTGGGAGGCTGAGGCAGAAGGATTGCTTGAGCTCAGAAGTTTGAGACCAGCCCAAGCAAGAGCAAGACCCCATCTCTACTAAAAATAGAAAAATTAGCCAGGAGTCATGGCACATGCCTGTGGTCCCAGCCACTTGGAAGGCTGAGGCAGTAAGATCACTTGAGCCCAGAGTTTGAGGTTGCAGTGAGCTACAATGACACCACTGCACTCTACCTGGGGCAACAGAGTGAGACTCTGTCTCCAAAAAAATAAATTAAATAAATAAAAACCTTTTGCTGAGAGCCCAGTGGGTTTTAGGTCCCATGCTTCCCATTGTACGGACTTTGTGACGCATTAGACCTTGAACCTGCCTTGTTCTCAGGGAGATTACAGTCCAATGGATAGTTCATGTAAGTACACTGCAAGTGGGAAGTGGTCAGAGTCGTAAGAGCGGCAGATGTGTTCATTGGATAGACATCTGCTGCATGTTATCTAGTGTCAGGCTGTAAGGATAAAGAGAGTAAGTGCCATGATTGTTCTCATGGAAAAGCTCAACCTGGAGGACAGGAGAATTTGGACGTGGAGGAAACAGGGGAAGAGTGCGCCAACTAGAAGGCCGAGAGGAAGGGAGCACAGTGTGTGACAGGGATGGGGTAGCAACACAGTTAATGACCTAACTTGCCATGTTGCCCCCTCCTACAGCTCAAGGCCAGGCTAGCAGTGGGTACCTTGTTATCGTGTACCATCCACCATCTCAGTGCTGAAAATGTTTACCCTTTTTCCATTTCCCAAATAAGATGATTGGGTCTACCCTGAGCTTGACAAATACTTCTGGAGACCAGATGGGACTTGGGGAGTCCTCAGGCTTCATAACCGGAACTTCAGAGGGTGAGCCTGGAGTGGAGAGACTGGAGAGACAGTAGCCTTCCTCCTCTGGCCCAGCTTCCCTTCTGTCAGCAGGGGCACTGGCCTCCGCCCAACCCTGCCTTTGTGGGGCTTGGAAATGTGGTGGCCCTAGCACCTTTACAGTTTGCCAAGGCTTACCATCTCCCTCAGAAAGGATTCATCTGTAAAACGGTGATCATCATAACACCTACAATTGTGTGATTAAGGCTTTAGACTTTAGACCAGATTCTTGATGTCAAATCAAGCTCTGCCACTTACTAGCTGTGTGACTTTGGGCAAATTACTTAAGCCTTCTGTGCTCTGGTTTTCTCATTTGTAAACTGGGGATATTACTACCTATTTCATAGGGCTGTTATGAGGATTAAATAAGTGAAGATTTGAAAAGCATTAAGATCAGTGCCTGGCATACTGTAAGTACCATAAAACGAATGTGTTAAATAAATGAAAACTATACATGCTAGTCAGCTTTTAATCTTGTGTGACAAGATAGCTAGCAGGTCTCCTGCTCATTTATCCCTCTGGGGATAAAAATAAAATTAATCTCCTCCACTTCATTTTTAGCATTGTTCTCAACTCTGTTAAAATGGCCAACTCTGATATTTTGCAAAGGGTGGTTAAGTACCACTGATGTATGCAAGATGGCTTCAGAGAGTGCATGAATAAACATTGCTTAGATCAATAGTTAGACAGCTATTTTAAACATATTTTAGAAAGAAATATAAACAGAAAATCAGACCTGTGATTTCATATTATTGGTTGGGTCAAGCTAAGAAAAAGCTTTACAGTGGATTTAAAGAAATATATTAAGTAAACAGTGAGTGGATGTAATGGAGGCCCTCTTACGACTGCAGTTAGGCCTGGCTCAACAGCAGCTGTGGGAGAGTAAGGGAGCTTGGGAGGTGGGGGCTAGGCCCAGGGGGTGTCAGGCTGTAAGGGATAAGTGGGGGGATAAGTAGAGGGTGGAGACACAGGCCTGTCCTAGTCCCTTAAGGCATCTGGATCCATGGTGACTCCAGCCACTGGACTGTGGCTGATTTTTCCCCATCCCATGTCCTGAGGCAGTATCTTAGTCCCTTCTAACCCTATTCTTCTCTTGCCAAGCCAAGGCACCCACCCCCTCACCCGCACCTCCTAAGAATCTTCCAATCAGTGGTGTCAGTCTCTGGACTGAAGCTAGACAATCATCACCACACCAAGAGTACTCACCCCAGGGTAAGAACAGCAACAATGGAAAGAAGAATAGTCAGAATCTACACAGCACTCCCCCCCCCCCCACAAAGCACTTTCACACACATGATTTCATGGGCTCGTCAAACCCTGAGTTCCAAGGCAGAAAGTGACAGCAAGACATGCCAGACAGAAGACAGAAGGTGCTTGCTTCCTAAGGCTAGGATGGCCCTGGTCGTGGGAGAGAACCCAGACTGATGAACACTGGGGGGAAGACTATTTCCCCTCACTTGGCTCTGGGACCTCAGCTCTGAAGAGCAGTGCAGGCCTCAGGCTAGCGCTGGAGAGGCGCCCTTCAGGCCTGGAGGGCCTGGCCAGGCCTTCCCCATGGCTTCCAGGCCCAGCGCCCAGTTAGCGTGGGGGCCTCCCCCTCCCCCAGTCCCCTGGGAGTTGGGGGGGGGGGTCGAGGGGATCAGCCAGGCCCCCCCTCCCAGGCCAGCTGCTACAGAACCTTCCGGCTCCAACATTCCATCCCCTCTTAAAGGGGAAGTCGATGCTTCCAAACTCTGCCTGTCCAAATCCTTGCAGCTGGGTGGAGGGGAAGACCCCGCCAGGGAAGGGAAGATGGAGAACACCCAGAAACTCTCCTTGGCCCTCCCACCCAGGCCCTGAGGCCCCTTCCAACATCTCCCCGCTTGGCCACCATCTGGAGGGAAAAGGCCCCAATTCTAAAGGGAGATCAGCACCTGGGCTGGTGAGGACTCCCCCTCAGGGGGTCAGGCGTTCTGCTCCCCCGACAACATCGGAAAGGCCCACAGGGGAGAGGGGAGACAGCTAAATAAACATCAGGGCTGCAGACCCTAGCTCACGTCCTGGAGCCCGAGCACCCCCAACTCCCCCTTCCCCCAGCTCAAAGTCCCAAGGCATAGCCCTCAGATGCAGGATACTCCAAATATGGCTCTGAGTTGTGGAGCTGAAAAGATGGAGAGGGCCAAGGCCGAGTTCCAGACACCCCTAGCCTATGCTAAAAAGGTGGCTCCCACGGCAGGAGGAGGGCTGGGGGCTCTGGCTCTGGAATTGGGTGGAGGGGGTGTGTGTCTGTCTATGTGGGCCACTGGTCTCTGAGGAGGTGAGCAGGCTTGACGGGCAGGAACTCTGCTCTTGGGGAGTTGGACGTCCCCCTAAACTAGGGGGGCCAAGGTCCCCCCTCAAGAGGCGCACGGGAGCCCCTAAAGGGGCTGGGACGTTGGCCCCCGAAAAAGCCAAATGGGCTGAGTCGCCCACAGAAGTCAGAGTGGGGCTGGAAGCCAGGGTAGCGAGGGAAGTCCAGACTGGCCGCGTCGGTCCTTAAAGCCTGAGGGGCCGGGGCTCCCCGGAGGCGGGGCAAGGGCCATCCTCACCCGAAATCGTCGTCCATAGACTTGAAGAAGAACTTATAGCTGGGTCGCTGCAGAACGCCCTTAAAGTCCGCCAAGGTGACGCGCTCGGCGGGCAGGGGCAGCTTCACCAGGTACGGCGTCTCCTGCCCGTCCAGGTGGTAGATGATCTTGGTCTCGCCCATGGCTCCGGCCTCGGGCCCAGCGGCCCGCGCGCGGCCTGCTCCGGCGGCCGGGCCAGGCCTCTCAGGCGGCGGCGGCCTCGGCGCGGCCCAGCGGCTCAGCCCAGCTCCGCGGCCGGCCGCGGCGCCAGCTCCCTTGTTCTCCGGCCGCTCCCGGGTCCCAGCGCCGCCTGCTGCCGCCGCCGCCGCGGCCGCCGCTTCCGCTCCCCACTCTCCCGGCTCGGCTGGCGACCGCGACTCTTCCGGTGGCCGCGGCCCTCCCGGCCCTGGGCTGTGTCCCGGCCCGCTCCCCTCCCCCGCGCCCCGGCAGACGGCCGGGCCCCGCCCGGGCCCCGCAGACACCCCACCCACCCGCCGGGCGGCGGCGCTCTGGCCCCGGACCCAGAAAGGGAAGGGGAGCTTTCACCAGGATGGCCGCCTCCCCAGACCTTCCAGAGGCCTGACTGCACCCGAGTGGGATGGGTGGCTCCTCTGCTGTCCGGGAGGAGTGGAATGCAGGGATGGCTTTGGTCCCCAGAGGGGGTCTGGGGGAGGAGAGTGACCTCAGCATGGCCCTTTAGGGTTTGTGGAGAAGCACAGCTGCTGTCATTGAGTCTACTAAACTGAGCTCCTTGGAGGCAGGACAGGATCGAGTACTGATTTTTCCTTCTAACCTTAGCGCCTAAGTGCAAAGTAGTGCTTTAATAAATGGATTGAATGAAGAATGAGTGGATGCATGCATGCCTGGAACAGTAAGTCTCAAACCAGAACTAGGTATAACCGGTTCCTGACAGATCTCCTCACCCCTTAGCTTTTAATTCATTTAATTAAATACTGAGGTCCTACTATATGCCAGGTGTATTGTATGAGATATAACAGTAACAAAACAAACAAGGCTGCCCTCAGGATTTTCACTCAACTGGAAGAAAGCATATAGGCTTGTAAATAAATAATTTCAGAGTGACAAATGCTATTAATATCAAGATAAAATGGAGTGATGTGACAGTGACAGGGGAGAGAGGATTCTAGGTGGTCAGAGAAGGCCTCTTCCATATGAACTAAGGCCTAGAAACAGTGAGGAGGAAGCAGCTATGAGAAGATCTGGGGGAAGAGTATTCTAGGGATGGGGTGGCACAGCCAAGTATAAAGGCTCAAGGCAGGAATAAGCTTGCCACATTTGAGGAACAAGAAGTCCCCTGTGACTAAAGGAACAGTGTTAGATGAGGCTAGAAGGTGGGGGGGAGGCAGATCACATAGGGCTTTTTATGCTACAGTAACAAGTATGGACTCCTCCCACGCCATTTGTATACTGTTGCCAAATTGCATTAGAGTAAGAACTTCTTTCAGATTCATCATCTGCTCAGACACCTCTCCACATTCCCCAATGCCTTCCAAATATCCTTAGCATGATAATCAAGGCCCTCCATAATCTAACCTGTACCTACCTTTATAGCCTTTTGTCTCATTATATCCTAGCCAATTTTTTTTGACTCCAGGGAAATGAACCCACTTGCTAGCCCCTGCACACACCTTACATATTTTCACTTCATACCTTTCCCTTCATCTTCTTCAAATTTTTAATTTTTAATCAAAGTAATATGTATGCATAGTCAAATAGCATTAAGAAGTTTTTAACAAAAACAGCAGTCCTTTGTCCAATTTCCCTCGCCACTCTCAGAATGCTTTTTCTTTTTTCTCTTTTTTGTTTGTTTATACAACTCATTTCTCTGAAACGGAGTAGCTCGTATTACTATTTCTTTTCTTTTTTTTTTTTTTTTTTGAGACAGAGTCTCACTCTTTTGCCTGGGCTAGAGTGAGTGCCATGGTGTCAGCGTAGCTCACAGCAACCTCAAACTCCTGGGCTCAAGTGATCCTCCTGCCTCAGCCTCCCGGTAGCTGGGACTACAGGCATGCGCCACCATGCCCGGCTAATTTTTTCTATATATTTTTAGTTGTCCAATTAATTTCTTTCTAATTTTAGTAGAGACGGGATCTCGCTCTTGCTCAGGCTGGTTTCGAACTCCTGAGCTCAAACAATCCGCCCGCTCGGCCTCCCAGAGAGCTAGGATTACAGGCAAGAGCCACCGCGCCCGGCTACTATTTCTTGATGTATGCATTCTAGACATTGCTTATTGATTTCCAATTTTGATTGATGATGATCTCTCTTCCACCTCCCTCTACCCTCTTAAAATGGTGAAATCATGCTTTCTGGTTAAGTCAATATAGTACTTAGTATTGACATTATTTTAACTATGAATAAATGTTTACCGCTAAGCCATGTGTATTCCATGATTATGTTTCCTTTACAACTTTTTGTTTCCCCTGGCATTAATCATTGCCTTGCTTTTTCATTTGCTTTGTTTTCAATATACTGTACCTATCATTAATTCTTTCCATGTAATCTAATTATTTCTCAACACACATTTTGTTCACTCAGTCAAATCTATTAGATAATCCATCAGTTCCATATTTCCCTGGAGGCTTTCATTCTTTTACTCTGGTCTGCACTGCTGGCTGTCTCAGCCTGTGTACAGCTGTCATCTTGGGACTTCTCTGCATCCTCAGAATTCCCTTTACTTCTCCTCTGTGTTGAATCCCTATTTCCTGGATAGTCTACTCCTTTGTTTTTAGTAAAGCATATCCTTTGGTAGCTTCTTTGAAAGGAAGCATGGAAAATAAAATTTTTTTGAGAACTTGCATATCTGACAATGTATGCTTCTGAGTTGAAAATAATTTTCCTTCAGAATTTTGAAGGCATCACACCATTATCTTCTAGTTTTCAGTGTTGATAATGAGTGGTCAGTTTGATCTCCTTATTTTTTCCAAGCCTTTGTACACTTGTTTTTATTGTCTCTGGAAGTCTTTAGGAAGTTCTCTTTATCTCTCGGGTTCTGAAATGTCTTTAGGAAGTTCTCTTTATCTCTGGGGTTCTGAAATTTCATGGTGATACATTTTGGTAAGGATCTTTTCTCATTCACTGTGCTAGAAATTCAACAATAATTTCTTGAATTAAGACCATTCTCACTACAATTTTTCCTATTCACTTTCTGTAATCCGTGTTAGATGTTAGACCTTCTGGATTGATCCTTAATTCTTTTATCTTTTTCTCCTTTATCCATTTCCTTTTATTTTTCAATGATTTCACCTTTTTGCAGAAAAAGATTTTCTTTTTCTTTTTTAAGAGACAGGGTCTTACTCTGTAGGCCAGGCTGTAGTGCAGTGGCACAATCATAGCTCACTATAAACTTGAAGTCCTGGGCTCAAACAATTCTCCCACCTCAGCCTCCCGAGCAGTGGAGTAGCTAGGACTATAGGCACCTGCCACATGCCCGGCTAATTTTTAAAATTTTTTGGTGTAGAGATGGGGTCTTGCTATGTTGCCCAGGCTGGTCTCAAATTTCTAGCCTCAAGCAATCCTCCTACCTCAGCCTCCCAAAGAGCTGGAATTACGGATGTGAGCCACCAAGCCCAGACAGATTTTTCTTAACATTATTATCCAACCCTTCCAACCATTTACCTATTCAATATATTTACTGGATTTTACCTATTGAATATATTTGTTGGATAGGTAAAATATTCAAGAATCAAAATTCAAGAAGTACATAAGGATGGAAATACAATAAAACTTCTCCCTCCTATTTGGTTCTCTAGTCCTCCAGTTCTCAATAGAAGGAATCAGTTTATTTTAAATTAGAAATTAAAAACTATTTCTTGTTCTTCGAATTCTTCCTTTTTATAGCACTTTCTTCATAGCCATAGTATCTTTCTTCTTTGAGTTTTGAGTATAGTAATTGCAGTTTTTTCCCCCTGAAGTTTGCAAAAAGTTCCCTACTTTGCCATTATTTCCTTGGTTTCAATTTTCTGTTTGCTTGTTTTGGTCTGTCTTTCACGTTGGAAAATTCTTCAAATGTTTGATGGTCTTTGGCTGTCTATTCACATTTAACAGTGAGATACCAAAAGCTGATTGGAAGCTTAGTCTATACACAATACTTATTAACTAACAGGTTTCAGTGTAGGGTGATCAAGTGGGGGGAAAGCTGACCTTTTTTTTGGTCAAGGAAACCAAAAATGTCAGTATTCATAGGACTTTTTTTCTGCAGCTGTTCCATTTGTTTTTGCCTGGGGGTTATGTCATTTTGCGTTGATGTTCAGAGTCCCACAACTCATATACTTTCACCTAACTCCTCATTTTCAATCTAACACTTCACCCCCAATCTAACTATGCCTGCTGCTGAGTCCAGAGGCTCTGATAGTTTTAAGTTCTGGACATTCTGAAATTTCATGGGCTTTTTCATTCATTATGCTGGGAACTAATGGGCCCCGTCAGTCTGGAAACTCATGACTTTTGGGTTTAGGAAATCTTAAGTATTTCTTTGATAATTTCTTCCCCACCATTTCTCCAGAGACATAATCTCCTATTTCTTGCAGGGGAGAAGTAGGTGTAATTACCCAGATGGATCACATGATGTCAGGACCTGGGGAGCTTTTTCTCATACAGAGCTTTGTGTAATCTCCCTCCACCCTACCCCTAGTTTTCAGTCCCAATCTGTACCCTTCTCTGAAGTGCTGACCCTTTTCTGGGTTCAGAAGGGCACACTGGCTTGCTTCCTATTAATAACTCCCTTGGCAGGTAGAACCCAACTCACTCTGCTCTGCTAAGTCACCTTTCACTCTTTTATTTTTCATTTTCTAAAATGTTAATGTTTCTCGCTCTTTGTCATCACCTGTTTTCCTTATCATTGGGTCATGTGGCTTTTTAAAAGAATTCCTTTATAAGCATTTTAATGGAGTTTTTAGAGGGAACAAAAAAGCTCGTGTTTAATTTTCCATATTTAATTGGAAATCTTTTGCTTGCTCTTTTAACCTTTTCTTTTTCTTAGAGACATGATCTCAAGGTCTCATTCTGTTGCCCTGGCTAGAGCTCACTATAACCTTGAACTCCTGGACTCAAGCAATCCTCCTGCCTCAGCCTCCCAAAGTGCTGGGATTACAGGCGTGAGCCACTTTGCCTGGCCCCTTCTAACCTTTTCTATTTTTTAGGTCAGAAAGGCATCTCATGGTTGAGTTTAAAGGAGACAATACAACAAAGTGACAAATGCCAGCTCTAGAGTCCATTATTAAATCTGGCTATATCAATTACTAGTTATGGGACCCCTCTGAGCTTCAGGCACCTCATCTGAAAATGGGGATATGACCTACTTCCTGGGGCTGTGAGGATTAAATAACACATGAAAAATATTTAGCAAAATGCCTGTCACACAGTAAATACTC